AGGAATAAAGTTGGAAATCAGCAACTCAGGAATCCCTAGAGAATATGCAAACACATGGAGACTGAACAACATGGTCCTGAATGAACAATGAGTCACAGAAGAAATCAAAAGAGAAATCAAAAACTTTCTGGAAGTAAATGAGGATAACAATACAGCATACCAAAATTTATGGGATGCAGCAAAAGCAGTGTTAAGAGGAAAGTTTATATCAATAGGTGCCTACATCAAGAAATTGGAAAGGCACAAATAAATGAGCTTTCAATGCATCTCAAGGATCTAGAAAAACTGCAGCAAACCAGACACAAATCTAGTAGGAGAAGAGAAATAATTAAAATCAGAGAAGAAATCAATAGGATTGAATCCAAAAAAAAACATTACAAAAAGTCAGCAAAACGAGCAGCTGGTTTTTTGAAAAAATAAACAAAATTGTCACACCATTGGCCCAACTAACTAAAAAAAAAAGAAGACAAAAGACCCAAATCCCTAAAGCCAGAGATGAAAAAGTAAATGTAACAACAGACACCACAGAAATATAAAGAATAATCAGAAATTACTACAAGGACTTGTATGCCAACAAACAGGGAAATCTATCAGAAATGGGTAGATTCCTGGACACATGCAACCTACCTAAATTGAACCAGGAAGACATAGAAAACCTAAACATACCCATAACTGATACAGAAATTGAAACAGAAATAAAGGCCCTCCCAACAAAGAAAAGTCCAGACATTTAAAGAAGGACTAACTCCAATTCTCCTTAAACTATTCAGAACAATTTAAAAAAGAGGGAATCCTCCCAAATTCTTTCTATGAGGCCAGCATCACCTTACTTCCTAAGCAGGACAAAGATGCAGCATTGAATGAGAGGTACAGACCAATACCCATGATGAACATAGATGCAAAAATCGTCAATAAAATTCTGGCCAATAGAATGCAACAACACATCAGAAAGATCATCCACCCAGACCAAGTGGGATTTCTCCCTGGTGTGCAGGGATGGTTCAATGTTCGCAAATCAATCAATGTGATACACCACATTAACAGACTGCAGAAGAAAAACCATATGATTATCTCAATAAATGCAGAGAAAACATTTGATAAAATACAACACCCTTTCATGATGAACACTATAAGCAAACTGGGTATAGAAGGAACATTGCTCAACACAATCAAAGCAATTTATGAAAAACCCACGGCCAGCCTCCTATTGAACGGAAGCATCTCCACAGAGATATGGTATCAGACAGGAATGCCCACTCTCACCACTGCTATTCAATATAGTTCTAGGGCCAGTGCTGCGGCTCACTAGGCTAATCCTCCGCCTTGCGGCGCCGGCACACAGGTTCTAGTCCCGGTCAGGGCACCAGATTCTGTCCCGGTTGCCCCTCTTCCAGGCCAGCTCTCTGCTGTGCCCAGGGAGTGCAGTGGGGGATGGCCCAAGCACTAGGGCCCTGCACCCCATGGGAGACCAGGAGAAGCACCTGGCTCCTGCTATCGGATCAGCGCAGTGTGCCAGCCGCGGCAGCCATTGGAGGGTGAACCAACATCAAAAAAGGAAGACCTTTCTCTCTGTCTCTCTCTCTCTCACTGTCCATTCTGCCTGTCAAAAAATAAAAAAAAGTAAAAAAAAGAGTTCAATATAGTTCTGGAAGTTTCAGCCAGAGCCATTAGGCAAGAAAAAGAAATTAAAGTGATACAAATTGGGAAGGAAAAAGTCAAACTATCCCTCTTTGCAGACGATATGCTTCTTTATTTAGGGGATCCAAAGAACTCTACTAAGAGACTATTGGAACTCATAGAAGAGTTTGGCCAAGTAGCAGGATATAAAATCAATGCACAAAAATCAACAGCCTTTGTATACACAGGCAATGAATGCTACAGTTGAGAAAGAACTGCTAAGATCAGTCCCATTCACAATAGCTACAAAAACAATCAAATACCTTGGAATAAACTTAACCAAGGACGTTAAAGATCTCTACCATGAGAATTACAAAATCTTAAAGAAAGAAATAGAAGAGGATACCAAAAAATGGAAAAATCTTCCATGCTCATGGATTGGAAGAATCAACATCATCAAAATGTCCATTCTCCCAAAAGCAATTTATAGATTCATGCAATGCCAAGCAAAATACCGAAGACCTTCTTCTCAGATCTGGCAAAAATGATGCTGAAATTCACAGAAGACCTCGAATAGGTAAAGCAATCTTGTACAACAAAAACAAAGCTGGAGGCATCACAATACCAGATTTCAGGACATACTACAGGGCAGTTGTAATCAAAACAGCATGGTACTGGTACAGAAACAGATGGATAGACCAATGGAACAGAATAGAAACACCAGAAATCAACCCAAACATCTACAGCCAACTTATATTTGATCAAGGATCCAAAACCAATTCCTGGAGCAAGGACAGTCTATTCAATAAATGGTGCTGGGAAACTGGATTTCCATGTACAGAAGCATGAAGCAAGACCCCTACCTTACACATTACACAAAAATCCACTCAACATGGATTAAAGACTTAAATCTACAACCCGACACCATCAAATTATTAGAGAACACTGGAGAAACTCTGGCAAAAGACTTCTTGGAAAAGACCCTGGAAGCACAGACAGTCAAAGCCAAAATTAACATTTGGGATTGCATCAAATTGAGAAGTTTCTGTGCTTCAAAAGAAACAATCAGCAAAGTGAAGAGGCAACCTACAGAATGGGAAAAATATTTGCAATTATGCAACAGATAAAGGGTAAATAACCAGAATCCACAAAGAGATTAAGAAACTCCACAACATCAAAACAAACAACCCACTTAAGAGATGGGCCAAGGACCTCAATAGACATTTTTCAAAAGAAGAAATCCAAATGGCCAACAGACACATGAAAAAATGTTCAAGATCACTAGCAATCAGGGAAACACAAATCAAAACCACAATGAGGTTTCACCTCACCCCGCTTAGAATGGCTCACATACAGAAATCTACCAACAACAGATGCTGGCGAGGATGTGGGGAAAAGGGGACACTAACCCACTGTTGGTGGGAATGCAAATGGTTAAGCCACTATGGAAGTCAGTTTGGAAATTCCTCAGAAACCTGAATATAACCCTACCATACAACCCAGCCATCCCACTCCTTGTAATTTACCCAAAGGAAATTAAATTGGCAAATAAAAGAGCTGTCTGCACCTCAATGTTTATTGCAGCTCAACTCACAATAGCTAAGACCTGGAACCAACCCAAATGCCCATCAACAGTAGACTGGATAAAGAAATTATGGGACATGTACTCTATAGCATACTATACAGTAATAAAAAAAAAACAATGAAGTCCAGTCATTTGCAACAAAATGGAGGAATATGGAAAACATCATGCTGAGTGAATTAAGCCAGTCCCAAAGGGACAAATATCATATGTTCTCCCTGATTGGTGACAACTAACTGAGCACCAAAGGGGAAACCTGTTGAAGTGAAATGGACACTATGAGAAACAGTGACTTTATCAGCCCTTGTCCCATCTGTTGATGTACAATTTAATGTTTTAGCCCTTTTAGTATTTTTTGTTCTACTTAATACGATTGGTTGAACTCTGTAATTAACACACAATTATTCTTTGGTGTTTAAATTTAGCTGAAAAGTGATCTCTGTTAAATATAAGAGTGGGAATAAGAGAGGGAGGAGATGTATAATTTGGGACATGTTCAAGCTGACTTACCCCAAATGGTGGAGTTAGAAATGTGCCAGGGGATTCCAATTCAATCCCATCAAGGTGACATGTACCATTGCCATCTCACTAGTCCAAGGGATCAATTTCAGTTCACAATTGATCACACTGATAGGTCTAAGAGTCAAAGAGATCACATAAACAAGACTAGTGTCTGCTAATACTAACTGATAGAATAAAAAGGGAGAGAAGGATCCAACATGGGAAGCGGGATACACAGCAGACTCATAGAATGGCAGATGTCCTAAACAGCACTCTGGCCTCAGAATCAGTCCTTAAGGCATTCAGACCTGGCTGAAGGGCCCATGAGAGTATTTTAGGCATGGAAAGCCAAAACACTCTGGCAAAAAAAAGAGAGAAAGAGGACCTAAATGAAAGATCTCTGTGAGTGAGATCCCAGTAGAAAGAACGGGCCATCAAAGAAGGAGGTACCTTTCTCTGAAGGGAGGAGAGAACTTCCACTTTCACTATGACCTTGTCTAAATAAGATCGATGTCCGCGAACTCAAAAGGCTTCCACAGCCTTGGCAACTCATGACAAGAGCCTAGGGAGATTACTGATGCCATGAACAAGAGTGTCAAATTGTTAAGTCAACAACAGGAGTCACTGTGCACTTACTCCTCATGTAGGATCTCTGTCCTTAATGTGTTGTTCAATGTGAATTAATGCTATAACTAGTACTGAAACAGTATTTTACACTTTATGTTTTGTGTGGGTGCAAGCTGATGCAACCTTTACTTAATATATACTAAATTGATCTTCTGTTTATAAAGAGAGTTGAAAATGAATCTTGATGTGAATGGAATGGGAGAGGGAGCGGGAGATAGGAGGGTTGCAGGTGGGTGGGAAGTTATGGGGAGTAAAAAGGCATTGTAATCCATAAACTGTACTTTGGAAATTTATATTTACTAAATAAAAGTTTAAAAAAGTTAAATTCCTAGAGATAGAGTAGAATGGTGGTTACCAGGGGTTGTGTAGGGTGGGAGTAGGTGAGGAAAGGAAAGACTTTGGTCAAATGCGTACAAAGTTTCAGTTTGACTGGAGGAATAAGTATTGATGGTCTACTGCATAGAATAATGACTATAGTTAATAAGACTATATTATACATATCAAAAAAGCTGAGAAGATCTTAAAGTTCTCATCACAAATGGATATGATAATTAGCCTGATTTGATCATTTTACAATGCATACATGCATTGAATTATCACATTGTATCCAACAAATATATAAATTAACATTAGTCAATTAAAAATAAAAATGTTTAGAAAAAAACAAAGGACATATTTTAAAAAGCACTGTTTATTTTTATTTATTGAAAATGTCCATTTTAAAAGTATTTAAAATAATAACAAGTTAGAAAATGTTGAGCTTGTGTAAGAAGGGACATGACAGAAAGGAACTGAAAGGCCTCTAAGGGCAGCAATTTAATTACAGAGTAACAGAAACCCATTTATAGAGTATTGTAAACAACACAACTATGGAGACACTGCTCTCAGGTTAACATGGCTTCATTTCCTTTATATTATTATTTAGTGTGTAAGCACGGACACCACTGTGCACAAGCTTCATTACCCAGAGTACCAAAACCCTCTCATCAGAAGGGTCAAGTCCCAAAAACATGCATATGTACACATCACTCTAAAATAAAGACCTTTCAATATTTTAAGCAATCAACTAAAGTATCTTGTAATTACAAAAATGTTTCCTACAGATATAGTTTGCACAATTATTGCAAGGCGTTGACTAACCACAGACAGGGAAAAGGCAAACACTTGTGTTGTTTTTGTTGTTTTTAATTTTTAGGTGAAGGATGTCAGACCCAAACTTCTGTGCTTAAAACCAGAACAATAGTCATTCCTAGAAATCTTCTGCCTAAGGCTTCCAAAGCTGGCTATGTGTGGTGGGCTGATGCTGGAGTGCAGGAATAGTCAACTTCCTGTGGGTGGTGTAATGTCTGCTATGCAGCAGGCAGACCACAGCCCTGTACCATGTAGCTTTGAGATCTTGAGACTTCAGTACCAGAAAAAAAGGCTCCTCTGCAAGCTGAGGGTTTCAAGCTTCAAGTTTAGTTTCTAAACATTTGCAAAACCCACATTACAGACACCCATCAGTATATCTGGGAGAAAACTTTCATCAGCCGATTGGCCTTCGCCTCTGTTTCCAGTGTCACTCAGCCCAATGTGCCCTGCCTTTAGGGGAGGAGGGGCAGGTATACTACTCTGTCCTAGAGCTTTGGGCAGACTTTCAATTTTGCTGAATTTGGATATGCACTGTTTTGTTCATTCATTCAATGAGCAACTTGAATAAACCAATTTCAAATAATCAGTTTTGTTAGTAGCCACCACACGGCTGCTACAGGGGCCCTTTCATTCTGGATATACAAACTGAACCAAAAGTACATTTCTGTAAATAATGCAAATAATGCTGAAAGTCCTATTTAAACAGGTGGGTGAATATTACAATATGAGATAGCAATAGAGTGAATGAAAGCTGTAGGAAGAGCACAATATCTTCTCAATGCAGATTGCTTTGAAGGGTGAAAGGTCATAGTTTGAATATGCAATGTAGATAAGGTAACTGCTCACAGTCTAACTACATTTTCAAAAAAGGAAACAAAGCACATACATACAAGTTTACATACCACTTGGTACAGTTGGCCAAAAGCACTGGGGAAATAGGAAGCTTACACACTGGGCAGAAGGCTAGGGGGCAACTTATCATGCGCTGGGAGGAGATGGGCAACTCTGCTGCTGAAGGGGAGGATTGTCCAATGCAATTTGCTGATGGACTGGGTGTCAGCATGAATAACCAGAGTGTCTGCCTCATTCAGTTAAACTGTGCACCAGTGCACTAGGAATTAAGGTACTGCTGTTTTCTTGGTCTTACAGACAACAAAGAGTAGTAATTTTTAAAATGGTGTGATTGATTGGGGGGTGCTGCATGAAAGTCTAGGGAAGGGCAGTTGGCTCACTGGGCAATTGTTAGTCTTTTACCCTACTCTAGTCATGGCTCAGGAAGCTCTGCCTTTAGCATGTTAGATAGTGAGAGGCTGGCAAGTACAGGAAAGCACTGGGTTGGGGGAAGGTTGGGTTCACATTGAATAAGCCATGGCCAGCTGCTTCACTGCAGCAGCCAGCCCAATAAGCATGGCTCAAGGGCATTGCTGTTGTAGAGGCACTGTGAACTGAAGGCCATCTGAGGACCACTTAAGTCATTTGCCTGCATTGGCTTTCCTTTCTTCATTAAATGGAAAAGATTAGGGCCACTCCTACCTTCACCTTCTGTTTTTTTTCCCTGTTGGAATAGTAACCAACCAGTAACCAAACAACATCAAAGAAAGAGACAGAGACAGAGAGAAAAAGGGGGGAGGGAGGGAGGGAGAGAGAGAGAGAGAGAGAGAGATACTAGAAATACTGAAATTCAAACTAAAAGCCAAAGAAGTGAGCAAGCAAACTGAGTCAAATTCTTTGACCAGACATTTCAAGATGCCCTGAAAGCACACTCCTCCCAGTTGCTCAGTGATGCTTATGGAAGAATTGAGGTCTTGCTACCGGACTCAGCTCGCATGCATTCATCAGTTTGCTTCAACAGCCTCCGAACCAGCTTTTCTAGGTCCCTTCTTGACTTCAATTCTTCTTCCAGACATTGCTTCATTCTTTTATTCTCCTACAATGGCAAAAGACTTATTGATTACCAGAGTGGGTCCTTCCCAAAGCTTCTGCTCATCTTCTTGGCAGCATTTGCCTCTGACTATACTTTCCTTCCTCAAACTCTGCTCCCTCAGCTTCTAAGAAGCTCTTGATTCTCCTACCTATCTGATTGGACTTTCACCCTCTTATCTGAAATACAAGTATTCTCTAAAGCTATTTTTACTTTTTGTCTCTTCCCTTTCAAACTGTCTATTAAGGGACCTCCCAAATATCTCTGTTGCTAACTTCATCTCCTAGGCACCGGGTACACAATCCCAAATGCGAGCCTAATATTTCCACCTGGATAAGTTACAAGAATGTCAACTCATTAAGTCCTAAAATGAATACAATATTTCCCTTGCCACCCCAAAATTCTCCCTCTCCTGTGGCTCCTGATCTCTGTGAGGGGCATCATAACACCAATCTTAATACCAAAAGAATAAGTTGTACTTTAATCCCTGGTTGTCTCTTAATATCAACATTATGTCTTCATATTCCCTAGGTTTGAATTCCACAGGGTACCTTCCTATCTTTGTATTCATTTTCCTCCTCCACTACCTCACTGGCTTGCCTCAGTTCCCTGAGTTTTGTAGGAACCTCCTAAGTGGTCTTCCCCGGTCTCTCCCCGTCCCAGCCCTCCTCACCCTGTGACCAGCTACAGTCAGTCCTCACACAGAAAGCAGAGTGTGTATCACAGATCACTGGACCACATCGGCAGAGGAGCCCACAAACCATGCTTTAGGATTCTCTTTATAGTTACGTACTCACAAGTGATTTGGCTTTTCTTAAGAAAATGATGTCAGAGAACAAACGTTGTAACTACTTGTGAAACCCTATTGCAAGCTGTTACACAGGAATATAAGCAAGCTGCAGAAACTGAAACCCAAGGTCCCATGGTAAAGTCAACAAGTACACCCTAATGACACCAGGAAAGCAAAAATCCCCTTCACCACCTTGCCCCCAGGATCTTTCCTGACAACATCTATCTGTGTAGGGCAAGGAAGAGGCAGTGAGAAAATGACACTTATATTTATTACCTGCTTCAGTTCTTTGACTTCATCCTTCAAGGCATAAACAGTATCGACAAGGCTCCTAGAATGTAAAGATGAAATTCAGGGATGAATGGCTGGTGCTGAAGTATTGTTGAATAACACTTAGCAACAAAAGCAGCTCTATATGAATACAAATCCTGAAAAACAGAGCACTTTCTTGCTGAGCAGGAATGGTACTGCTTTCAGGGGCTCTCACTTCCCGTATTTTGGTGGCAGAACCACCAGCACCACACATGTCCATTCCAAGCCCATGTCATTTTCTCTTTATACTTCCCTGCTCCTTTGCTACTCACTTCGCAGCTTGTGTGAGTGAAAAATTATACAAGAGCACAGTACAAGATTTGGCTTTTTCCGTATCTATTAAGGTATAATTTGACCAGTAAGAAAATGTATAGGGGTGGGTATTTGTCCTGGAAGTTTTAGACATGGTTAAGATGTCTGTATCTCACATTGTAGCATCTGGGTTTGAGTCCTGGCTCTGGCTCCTGACTCCAGCTTCCTGCTAATAAGCACCCTGAGAGGTAGCACATAATGGTTCTAGTTGTTGGGTCCCTGCTACCCATGTAGGAGACCTGGATTGGGTTCCTGGCTCCCAGCTTAAGTCCTGCCCCAGCTCTAGCCATTGTAGTCATTTAGGGAGTGAACCAGTAGACAGAAGACACATTTCCTCTCCATCTCCCTCTTGTCTAATAAATACATAATTTTAAAGCTATGTATTTTAAGATGTACAACATGATCATTATACACACACACACACACACACTATGAAATGGTTACCACTATTAAAGTAATTAATATATTCATTACCTCAAAGAGTCCCCATTTTTTGTATGTAGTGGGAACACTAAAGATTGCATTCTTAGCAAATTTCAAGCATATAGTACAGTATTATTAACTATAGCCATCATGCTCTACATTAGGTATCCTGAAATTATTCATGCTGCATAACTGAAACTGTACATCCTCTGATCAGCGTCTCCCTGTATGTCCCAACCTGCCTGATCCTGGCAACCACAATTCTACTCTCTGCTTCTATGAGTTCAAGTTTTTTAAAAATTCTCATCATAAGGTTTTAATTTATCTATCTTTGATACAGGAATGAACATCACCAAACACATGATAAGAAACATTGTCAGGCTATTCTATATTATCTGTGCCATGGCACTGCCTTTCTCATTTATCTGACCCCACATAACACGAATTCAGTGGCATTACTTCTGGGAAATTCCATATACTACAAAAAGAAAACAGATGAAGCATCCTGGCTGGGTTGTAGAACAATCTCTCTCTTTTTTTCTGGCTGGCTCTCTCCCTGGGCAAGGATTTCAGAGATTTAGGTTCCAGCTCCAATCCTGCCACTTACTAGTCCTCTAGCCTTGGAAAATCAGTTCCCATCTCATCCTCCCTTGGTCTTAGTAAATTAGAGATAATAAGACATTTCTGGGAAATCACAAAAGGTTATGAAGACTCATATAGCTGCAATAATCACCATCATCAGTAAAACCATTATCATTTGTTGAATGCTAGCCTTTGTAAAAGTTAGCATTTCATTTGACCACCAGCAATCCTGAAAATATTACTATCATCCCACATCTTACAGATGAAGAAACTGAGGCATAGAGGTGAAGGAGCATGCCCCAGGCCACACAGCTATTGAGTTGAAGCATTGAGAGTTGAGCCAGAACTTTTCGTGTCTTGAGCCCAAGTTCTTTACCATTTTGTTGTGTCATTTCTTACACCAGATGTAAAGATATATTGACATACCAAGCCCTTTGAAATGTGCTGTCCTATGCAAATTTGGGTCTGACTGCAGAAATGACTCAAGTTGAAGCAAATGAATTATTTAGCCACTTTGCATCTATTTTACGAGTCATGGGGTATTTAAGCTGGTTTCCCCCTTTTAGCCCACACTCACTATTGTGCAAAGGGAGGCCAGAGACATCATTTTCCTGTCCCTCAGTTTCTTCATTTGTACAAATGGTGAGAGGAATGCTTATCTTGCTGGATTGCTGTAAGATTGTCAATGAGGTCAAGTATGTAAAAGTCCAGCACCTCACTCAAAAAAAAAAAAATGAGAAGCGGTTCTGGACAGGGAAATGAGTGTGCTATACCCTTCCCAGGAACCTCCTAAACCCACCAGAGCACAAATATGCTTGCATGTCCTGAAGCAGCTGACTGCATGGGGGAATGGCTGCAGGGACAGCCACCATGTGGAGCTGTTCCCCAGGGCTCTGGGCTCTCTGCCCCTCCTCCCTCTTTCCTTTGTAAGGGAGGCATCCCTCCCAAGGCTCACCACTCCACCACATGTTCAGCAAAGAGGGTCACATTGCCACACCACTCTACTGGATCGTTTGTGCAGCCTGCAGACACAGTGAGAAAGGTTTAGCCTGCTCTACTCACTTTTCTTCTATGATGGTCTGGCCATTGCTCCTGGTTTCTTCAATGATGAGTTTCTCTTCCTCAGGCAGTAGGACTTGAGGAACAGAATCTTTGCGAGCACCTACAAACCAGGGTTGCAGGATGAAGGAGGGGGGAGAGTTACTACTGAATGGGATTTCTAGCTCTGCATTCATTTCGAACATAATTATGGAAGGGCCTTTGTTCACAGGACATTGCTACTTGGCACCCAGAGGGCAGTCACCCTACACTTGGCTAACTAAATCTTCCTGACATGAGCAATTCTAAATAGCCAAATATATTGATTCAATCTTCATGGTGGCAGGGGGTGGGGCAGGCATTTTAAACTCACAGAAATTACGTGAAAGGGCCAGCATAATGCCCATCCTCAACACGACCACTACACCTTCCTGTCTTGTCTCCCCAAAGCAGAGAGCTAACCAGTGACTGCTGTGTCCTTGTACATCTCCAGGGTATGACACAAGCTCTGGTGTTAAGCGACTATAGTAAAAGTCAGGTGGAGAGCAGCCCTGTGCTGGGACATGCACGTTTGAAGAGCTTTGGGAGCCTCATTAATGCTCACTCATTCTCTTCAGAGTCCTACAAGGGAAGACAAAGTTATTTAAACTCTTTTGATCAAAAGTAGGATGGGATTGGGAGATTATCACATCAGCAGCCAAATTGCAGGTGTCCTGACTGCTCTCTGCTCAAACTGTATCCAAGCTCTGGGACAGAAGAGATGACAGGACAGACACAGGGACCTATGAAACAGCTTTCCTGCACCTACAGCCTCCTCCTCACTCTGGATTCTCCCTCTCAGAGCTCAAGTGTTTTTCTTTGTTTCTCCCTCAAACACCGATCTCCTGTCTTTCAGTCCAAGTTCTCTCAGAGCTGTGCATACTCACTACCTTTACTTGATCACCTCCTCTTACCTGAGGTGAGATGTGTCTCTACATCCCCTAGGGTACACACTGTGGGGGGTTCATAGAGGAACAGCAGACTGACTGAAGGGCCAACTAAAGACAGTAAGTGTCAAGTTCTAGGGAAACAAGTCAGTTCTAGGGAAACAAGATTTCTGGCTCTAGAGAGGAGACAGATGTTGGCAGATCACCGTGATTCTAAAAGGTCTGCTGTGTGCTAAGCCCCGTGTTAGACACTTTCCATGTGTAAAAAAGGAGGCTAGGGAGGAGGAACAAAAAGGTGACTCTTCAGGCTAGAGCTCCTGCCTGTGTCTCTGAGTAGACGCATCGGGTCCGTCCATGTGAAAAGGTTCACTTTCCTATTTCACATGATAAAAAACTTCTCCCAGTTTCTTCTCCTGGCTCCTCAAAACTTGTTATTGGAGACTTGGGCAAGCCCAGAGCCACAACCAGATTTTATCCATGAAGTAGAAAAGTGTGCCAGCCCCCGCTTCATGGTCAAATGCATTGCCTTTCACATGGAACACTTTCTTCGTGACAGCCTTAGAGATGTGCTGCTTCGAAGGAATACATTCAAAGGCAGCCCAACTAAAAATTCCCCTCCCAAATGCCAGTGGTTAGGGGTTGTCCAAAATGGAACATTTATTTTCTACATGGACGTGAAAAATGCACAAAAAGGATCCTAAATGACAATAATAATGGAAGACAAAAGACATAATCTCTGCGACCTGGCTTTTCAAAAGCACATGGATGAATCAGAATACATTATCTTGCTTTCAGTTGGTAACCTAAAAAAAACACTTTGAGAAATACTCTTGCCTAAAAGCTCCCTGAAAAATTGCATCCATTTTTGCACAGTTCCTGCTAAGCAGCTACTTTCCAGCTTTTCAGTGCGACATTGAAACTTAAGTTTGGTGAAACATTGTTCACTTAAATATGCAGCTGATCAAAGATAGTATTTTGACTTCCTTTCCAAATCTGCCTATAAGAAGAGATTAGCATCAGTTCACAGACACAGGAACTCTCTGGGCTCTTTAATTCCTAACTAGTCTTGGTGAAGGTATCTGTGCACTTCAAAGAAGACTGATTTTTTAAAAAAAAAATTCATTTCTATCACCTCCAGCTTTTTTAGTCTTGCATCTCTCTCTCTCTCTCTCTTTCTCTCTCTCTGGGTAAAAAGCAACAGTGAGTAAACAAACCGCTTAGAAGCTAAAACCACCTTATCTGAAAGATGCAGTCCTGCACTGTTCCTCTGCACCAAGTCACCTGACTTCACACCCTGCAACCCATTTTCTTTGCTTTTCTAAGAGGCAGTGAGCAATACAGAAGAAACTTCACACATTAAGTAAAGCAGTTTTGGGGGAACCTACTTGAGCCGTGGCCTGGTTGAAAATTGGCACTGGTGCAGTAGGCTTCAATCACTTTTAGAATCTGAGCATCCTCTTCCAGAGCGGCTGTACCTGTCAGAGTTAATCAATAATGACTTTTCAGAGATACATGTGCCACTGGATCCTCGAAATGATGCAGTGGACACAACGAGGGACTGCCCTCTCTGACCAGTTAATGTTTCCAGAAGGAGGGGAGATGAGCTGTCCCATCCACATGATGGAGAAGTGACAGAAACCCTGTGAAACCCTGGGATCAGCCTCAGTTTGTTCAGCACCCAGGCGGGCTGGCTCCAGAAGTCCAGTGTTCTAAATCGGGGGATCATATCAGTCATCTCTTGGAGGCCCAAAACACAGCACTGAGCTGGTAGCTGGCTTCAGTTCTCATCCAACACACCACAGCCTTGCTTTCCTTTAAATCTCAGGGTCATCTTCTCCAAGGAGCTTTCCCTCATTAACCCCACTCATTTTCCAGCCAGCCAGTGTAGTCTCTGATTTGCTCTCCATCATCCTTACTCCTCCCAAACTTGTTCTTGAACTGGCTGGATGATAGCACCCTGGGAAAACGTTGCTGTGCTCACCCAGTGTGGAATACAGGATAGGGCATGCAGAAACTGGAGTAGTGAAAGAGTTAATCAAATTCTGTTTCTGCCATCTCTTTGTGAAACATCACTTACTCCTTCACCTGTGTCCCAAAGTTCTTTGACCATGGACTTATAGCCAAATACAAGGGGACCCCAAAAGTTCGTGGGGAAAAAAATGGAATGAAAAGTTAAGTTTATTTTGGTACCAAATTTTTTTGAAAGCATGTGTATGTTCTCGTAGTGTGCATTTTCCAGGAACTTTTGGGAGTACCTGCATATGTACAGATCAAACTGCCTTAGTGAGTTTGCAGTCTGTCTCGAAATTGAGTCATGTTGCCAAATGTTAGTAGGCCAGTTCTTGGACTCCAAAAAGGACTCAGCCTTCAGGTCTTGCTAGTCAATATCTGTACAGGGAAATATCTCAGGCATCAAAAATTAAGAGCAAATAAATGATATCCACAGCATCCCTGCCCATGTATTGGCCTAAACCAGCTGGGAAAAATCTTGAATATGAAAATGAGACAGATGATGTCTAAGATGATATGACATGCAGTAGGAGGCAGCTTACAGAAAATCTTAGAGGTCACAAAACCTTGGCTTGTATATTTTTAATGTAATAGATGATGCCAAGAACAAATTGATCTAATCATATACTTTGAAAACATTCTCATGTTATGAGAACTTTCTCTAGGACAGGCCATATGCTAGGACATAAAGCAAATCTCAGCAAATTCAAAAAATGGAAATCATACCACACATCTTCTCTGACCACAATGCAATGAAGCTGGAAATCAGCAATTCAAGAATCTCTAGATCACATGCAAACACATGGAAAATGAACAACATGGTCCTGAATGAACAGTGGGTCATAGAAGAAATCAAAAGAGAAATGAAAAAATTTCCAGAAACAAATGAAGACAATGCATCATAGCAAAACTTATGGGATACAACAAAAGCAGTGTTAAGAGGAAGGTCTATAGCAATCGGTGCCTACATGAAGAAATTGGAAAGCTACCAAATAAATGAGCTATCAATGTATCTCTAGGACCTAGAAAAACAGTAACAAACCAAACCCAAAATTAATAGGAGGAAAGAAATAATTAAAATTAGAGAAATAATAAAAATTGAAACCAAAAAACAATACAAAAAATCAGTGAAATGAAGAGCTGATTTTTGAAAAAATAAACAAAATTGATATACATTTGGTGCAACTAACCAAAAAAAGAGGGAGAGGGACCAAATCAATAAAATCAGAGATCAAAAAGGAAATGTAACAACAGACACCGAAGAAATAAAAAGAATCATCAGGAATTACTACAAAGAGCTGTATGCCAACAAGTTGGGAAACCCAGAAGAAATGGATAGATTCCCGGAAACAGATAACCTACCTAAATTGAGTCATGAAGACACAGAAAACCTAAACAGACCTATAACCAAGATGTAAATTTAATCAGTAATAATGATCCTCCCAACAAAGAAAAGCCCAGGACCAGATGGCTTCACTGCTGAATTCCACAAGACATTTAAAGAAGAACTAATTCCTATTCTTCTCAAGCTATTCAAAACAATTGAAAGGGAGGGAATCTTCCCAAACTCCTTCTATGAAGCCTGCATCACCTTAATTCTTAAGCTAGAAAAAGACACAACAGAGAGAATTATAGACAAAACTCTCTGATGAACATAGATGCAAAAATACTCAAAAAAATATTAGCTAATCAAATCAATAACACATCAGAAATATCATTCACCCAAACCAAGTATTATTTATTCCTGGTATACAGGGATGGTTCAACAGTCACAAATCAATAAATGTGATATATCTCATTAACAAATTGAAGAACAGAAACAATATGATTATCTCAATATTTGATCAAATACAACATCCTTTCATGAACAAAACATTAAATTGGGTATAAAAGGAACATTCCTCAACACAATCAAGGCAGTCTATGACAAACTCACATCTAGCATCTTATTGAATGGGGAAAAGCTAGAAACATTCCCATGAAGATCCAAAACCAAACAAGGATGTTCACCCTCACCACTGTTATTTAATATAGTCCTGGAACATTTAGCCAGAGCCATTAAGCAAGAAAAAGAAATCAACAGGATATAAATTGGAAAGAAGGTAATCCCTATTTGCAGATGACATGATTCTATGTATAGAGGATCCAAAAGACTTCACTGAGAGACTATTGGAACTCATAAAAGAGTTTGGTAAAGTGGTAGGATATAAAATCAGCATGAAAAAATCAATACCCTTTGTATACACAGACAATGCCATGGCTGAGAAACATCTTCTAACATCAATCTCATTCACAATAGCCACAAAAAAAATAAATACCTTGGAATAAATTTAACCAAGGATGTCAAAGATCTCTATGACAAAAAATTATAAAGCACTGAAGAAATAAATAAAAGAAGAAATTAAAAATGGAAAAATCCTCCATGTTCATGGATTGGAAGAATCAACATCATCAAAATATCCTTACTATCAAAAGCAATTTACAGATTCAATGCATTCCTAATCAAAATACCAATGGTATTCTTTGCAGAGATAGGAAAAAATGATGCTAAAATTCATATGGAAACACAAGAGACCCTGAATAAATAAAGCAATCTTATACAACAAAACAAAGTAAGAGGGATCACAATACCTGACATACTAAAGGGCAGTTATAATCAAAACAGTCTGGTACCGACACAAAAACAGACTTGTAGGACAATCAACAGAATAGAAATGCCAGAAATCAATCTATGCATCTACAACCAACTTATCTTTGACAAAGTAGTTAAAATCTATCCCTGGAGCAAGGACATTCTCTTTAACAAACAGTACTGGATCTCCATGTGCAGAAGTATAAAACCAGATCACTACTTTACACCTTATACAAAAATCCACTCAAAGTGGATCAAAGATCTAAATCTGTGACCCAATACCATCAAATTATTAGAGAACACTGGAGAAACTCTGCAAGACATTGGCATAAGCAAAGACTTATTGGAAAAGACCCCAGAAGCATAGGCAACCAAAGCCAAAATTGACAAATGGAATTAGATCAAGCTGAGAAGCTTCTATATTGCAAAAGAAATAATCAGAAAAGTGAAGAGGCAACCAACGAAATGGGAGAAAATATTTGCAAACTACGCAACTGATAAATGGTTAAAATCCGGAATCTATAAAGAGCTCAAGAAATTCAACAACAAGACGATCCAGTTAAGAAATGGCAAAGGACACTTGAGAAAATGATGAGGAACACTAGCTGTTAGGGAAATGCACATCAAAACCACAATGAGGTCTCTCCTCACTCCAGTTAGAATGGCTCTCATACAAAAATCAACAACAAATGCTGCTGAAGATGTGGGGAAACCAGTACCCTAATCCACTGTTACTGGGAATGCAAACTGGGGTACAACCACTGTGGAAAGACAGTATGGAGAAACCTCAGAAATCTGAATATAGCCCTACCATGTGATCCAGCTATCCCACACCTGGGAATTTGCTCAAACCAAAAGAAATCAGCACATGAAAGAAATATCTGTATCCACATGTTCATTGCAGCACAATTCACAATAGCTAAGATATGGAATCAACCCAGATGTCCATCAACTGTTGACTACATAAAGAAATTATGGTATATATACACTATGGAGTACTACTCAGCTGTAAAAAAAAATGAAATCCTGTATTTTGCAATAAGATGGACACAACTGGAAACAATTCTACTTAGTGAAATAAGCCAGTCCCCAAAAGACAAATATCATATGTTTTCCCTGATCCAAGGTAACTAATAGAGTATATGAAATATAATGTATTGGAGTGAAATAGACATTTTGAGATTAGATGATTGTTTATAACCCTTTTCTCTTCTTTTGAGGAACAGTGTTTTGTTGTTATTATTGTTTTCTTTTCTCTTCATACTATTTGTTAAACTCTTTTGCTTAGAGTAGGATTAACTCTATGATCATTAAGTATACTGAAAATTGAACTTTGTAAAAATTAAGAGTGGGAATGCAGGGTGGGGAAGGGCTGGAGTATGGGCAGGAGGAAGGTGGGCGGGGATGTCATTATATTCCTAAACATATATATATATGAAACATATTAAACCCGTATAACAAAAATAAAATTTAAAAAAGGAAATATCCTCATGTTAGTTCATCCATAAATATTGTTCAGAAAGTATAAAACACATACTTTTCCTGATCACATACTCCTCCTCTGATGGTTTTCTCTCAGTCTTTCTTTTATGAAGAAACTTCTTCATCGTTTTGGGGCTTTTACTAGACTCCTGTAAGGAGAGAGGTTTTTTGATGAATTAAAATTCTCCCTCAAGTGAAAATTAAAAAGAGCAAACGAAACACAATTCCTCTCTCTTATTTTGACAGTCTCAGGAGTACCTCAAGATTTAATGCTATGCGCAATAAAAATGGTTCTTATAAAGGCTAAAAGGTGAAATGAAACAGAGGCGGTGGCATTATCCTGCCAACTGCTTTAGGGGTGGGCAGGAGAATGGAGTGTTCTGTGCCTCCTGGCAGATTCTCCAGGAGGCCAAATGCCCTTAGGGCACCATATCCACTAAGAGTCATGGAGATTAACCTTACAAAACAGAAACATTCTTCCCATGGTTTATGTTTCCCACTGATACCGGTTTAAGGGGATTAAATAACAACTATACCTACTAATGTAGCATTTATCACTTCTCAAAGAACCTCAAAATTATTTAAATAACTTTTCCTCAGAAACAATCCCACAAAGAAGCATATAATTTCTATTTGTCAAGAGGGAAGATTAAGTCATTTTTTTCCACAGAGAACCAAATGACTGCCTGATAAATAATTTGGGGCTAAGAATAACACCCACAGCCAAGCTTAACTATACATGTATGAAGCCAAATTTCTTTTTTTAAAATAAATGATGTTTATTTGAAAGTAAGAGTTATATAAAGAGAGGAAGAGATAGATAGAGAGATCATCTCTCTGCTGGTTCACTCCCCAGATGGCCACAACAGCCAGGTCTGGGCCAGGCCAAAGCCAGAAGCCAGGAGTTTTATTTGGGTCTCTCACATGGGTGGCAGGTGCTGAAACTCTTGGGCCAACTTCTGCTTCTAGGCCATTAGCAGGGAGCTGGATAGGAAGTGGAGCAGCTGATACATGAATGGGCACCCATATGGGTTGCCAGTGTCACAGGTGGCAGCCTCACTTGCTATGTTGTAACACCCAAAGCCAGATTTTTAATTAGCAAATAAAAAATTATTGAATTTGCTTTTGTCATATGAATAACCTACAAATGACAAAAGTTCTCATTGACAATATCCAAATAAATAGATTAGACACTTACACTCAGGGAAAAAAATCCTCATGATCATTTTATTCCCATCTTCCTTCCATGCTATGTGTACATGTGATACATCGATAATAATTAGTATCTTAAAATATATGAAACAAAAGTTTGATTTCTTTCACTTAGTCACAGTGATCCACTAATTCTTGAAAACAGACAGGATGAAAAAGTCACATGTGAAGAATAACAGGACAAAACAAAGGGCCGGCGCCACGGCTGACTTGGCTAATCCTCCGCCTGCAGCACTGGCACACCGGTTCTAGTCCCAGTCGGGGCACCGGATTCTGTCCTGGTTGCTCCTCTTCCAGTCCAGCTCTCTGCTGTGGCCCGGGAAGGCAGTGGAGGATGGCCCAAGTGCTTGGGCCCTGCACCCGCATGGGAGACCAGGAAGAAGCACCTGGCTCCTGGCTTCGGATCAGCACAGCGCGGGCTGTAGCGGCCATTTGGGGGTGAACCAACAGAAAAGGAAGACCTTTCTCTCTGTCTTTCTCTCTCTCACTGTCTAACTTTGCCTGTCCAAAAAAAAAAAAAAAAAAAAACCACACACACACACACACAAAGGAACACTGGCATTTTTAAGGCCTTATAGGGTGACATTTGCATATGAATTTCATACAAGCCTGCTCTGGGAAGAAAGTACTTACATGTCAGAATTGTATCTTCATATTTTAGCCACCAAGTATATATAACAAGGAACAAAGCAAGCATAAGAGAAAGCTTCATTCATCAAAGGTTATAGCACAGTATTATGATGTCACTGTAAGCCAAAGATATTATTCTACCCTTACCTTTAAGATATAAGACATCCTCTAAAATGAATATGTAAAGAAAGAGAAGATGAGCGTGAGAGGTCGATGGTTATAATGACCAAATCCATTTATCAATAATTCTAAAACAACATTTGAAATGTTAGTGTTATCATAAATTACACAGAAAGAATATCATCACATTTCCCACATTAGTTTCAGATGCCATATCATCATGCAAAAGCCCAAGAAATACAGTTCTGTGCAGAATAACAAATGCTGAAAATGACTGAAATACACACCACATCATCAGAATATATTAATAATTCTCTTCCCCCAGCAGAAACAAAGTGGTCATGCCTTGGTTTTAATAGATTAGTTATGTGAAGGATTAAGCTGACTTTCCCCCCTTCAAAGCTCACCTCAATTTGACCTTAGCAACTGACAATTACAAATTATCCACCATTTAAAAAGGTAACTATGAAGTAGCACTCCTGGTTTAGGGAATCAAAGAAGAAACTGGGTAAATTGCAAAGAAACTGGGTAAATTTCCAAAGAAACTGGGTAAATTTCCAAAGCAAATCTGTAGGACTGTTTCCTGGCCAAATTCTGAATCGAGGTACATAATAAAGATTCAATTCAAGGGTTATTTCTCCTTCCACACCAGCTTGAAAGAATCAAAAAGTCCTCCAGTGTCCAAATACTGATGTATTTCTACTACACTAAAAGTTGGTGACAACAATTAATTGAAACAGAAGCATGGTGGTTTAAATCAAAGCACACTCAAAACTAAGCGGAGTCTGCATCACTCAGAACACACATTTGATAGATAAATAGATGCTGTCTCTGCACCATAAATCTAGATTCATAACTGTCACAAACTTAAACTTCAGTCAACAATACCTATTTAAGGAAAAGTTACAAATAAATGAGCATTCTTTCTGAAATATGAAATGATGAGAAACAGGTTTGGGGGAAAAAAATCAGTGTGAATGGAAAAGGTAAGACTCCACAGAGCAACTAGTGACTGATATTTCCTGATTACAACTTCAAGGGGATAAAAAAGGCTTTGAAATCCCTATATTATTCAAATATCAAATGTCCTTTAAGGTTCTCGCAGAGAAACCTTCTCAAATGACATTCCTTTCATTAAATTCTTTTCCCTTCCTAACTAGGGCAAATATCTTTCGTACTTTGGACCCATGACTGGGTTATAATTTGATTTAATCAAAATGATCCAAAATGTTGAGTTGCATCTACTTGATTGAAAATTCAACTCCAATGAAGTGGCTTTTGTTTGAGTTGTGTATACTTTGTTAACTAATTCAAACAATTATCAAAATTATCTCAGAGGTAAACCAGAGGCATTTCTGGAGGAGGCTTGGGAAACTCATATTGTGCACATCAACCCCGTGGCTAATCAACAAATGTTTTTAGATGGACAACGGGGAAATGGAGAATCAAGAAACAAGCAAAAAAAATCACCAACACTAACAATTCAATACTAACTGACATATAGCACCTATCATAAGGTTTAGCACATTCCCACAAAACTATTTGTAATAAGTTATTATATTAGCTTGTCAAAAGCATTTTATACCATATGTAGCAAAATTACCTCTTTATAACCTAGAGCTGCTGATGGTCTAAGTGGAGGTGCAGGTCGCAGACAACTTAAACTCCACGGTTTTATAATTTGAGGAGGCTCCAAGGGTCCTCGGGACTGTCCGGTAGAGCTAAAAGACTGGGAAAATGTCCGATGAGATACTGGCAATCTGCCATCTGAACCCGACCTTGTGCCACACACAGAGAGAACAATAGCTTTGTGGATCAGCAAAACCAGCCGTAGAAAGGGAAAGATGGAAAAATAAAGGCTCCAGTTTGAGAAATGGCACTTCCCAGTCAACATTATGAGGTCTCCAAGGAACAGCAAGAAACTGACTCAGCACTCCATGATCCTGTTCTCTCTCTCTCTCTCTCTCTCTCTCTCTCTCTCTCTCTCCGCCCAAGAATTTCGTTAAAGTCAGATATTTTTCCTCTGTGGCATAGGAAAGTGGAGTAATAGTCAACATTTGAGCCCAATGATGTGTTTGTCACTCTATTGTTCTGCTTAAATAGGTTATTTCATCAGAACAACCTACAACACAGACTCAACAAAGTGAAGTAACTAGCTAGTCACTGGCAAAGTCAAGATTTGAACTCAGATCTGATGCCAAAGTCTATGTTCTTCCAACTACAACACACAGTGCTCAAAGCTAGAATTTTGGCATCACGGTTTGAGTGTTAAAAGACAACACAGCATATCTTCCATATCATTCAGCAAGTACAGTAAAATCTCATAAATTCAAATTATATGCATTATAAATTCAGGAAAATGCAGAAGAAGACAATGCTGAAAGCTTGCATTTGAAGATGATTACTGAGAAAGTGTGATAACATGAGTGAGATTACATGGAGATGTTTAAGTTCTTAAAGAAGTAAACTATATGCTTTGACATAACACGCTATTAATATGAGAGTAATGATTGCTAATTAGGAAAGGTCTTTATCATTAAAATATCTTAGCATGACTTCTGGTTAGAAACACTCTGCTAGCAGTTAGTTGGAGTATCTGAATATTACCAAACTAAATTGTATACCTCTTAGTGAAATACATTTATTAATTTTAATGAGCCTCACCTTGAGAAACCAGAATTAGTGAGGTTTAACTGTATTTCATATTCTACAAAAATAGACTACTCGGTGACTAAAGGTGTGCTTGCAGCTTCTTGTTGAATCTTCAGCAGGCAAGATTTGATGAAAGACTCAAAAATCTCTTTATAGAACAAATGACTACTTACAGAATGAGCACTACATGATGATGATGATGTTTTGGATAATGAACTGCAGGAGGCAGGTCCTCTGATTAGTCTGCTCAGCTGCTCCAACCATTCTTGGAAGTCCTGGTTGTTGTTGCAATGGACCACTAGTCTATCTACCATGGTGCCTGTATCACCCAATTATGAGCATTTGAAAACAAAAAGCAAAGAGAACCTTGAGCTTGTCTCATTCATAAGCATACTTCACACAACTATCTATTTTCAGGGGTTGTCAAAGCCATGGGATAACCATTTGAAACTTTAATGAGAGGAACAGAGAGGTTCTGTTATAATAAAGCAAATAGATGCTCATGTATAGTTTATAAAACTATCGATTTCTACCACTTATAGAATCTTTATAGTGGGAAACTTTGCTAGAAACAATTCTCAATTTCAAACTTTAAACACATAGTCCATCTGGTTCATAGTCTAAAATGAAAGTATTGTACTGATTCCCTCAGTATCAAAGTTGGAACAAAATTCAACAAATTTGGTTACAGTATATGGGCAAAGACGGTAAGGCTAGGAGGAACCATTATTCCAGTCTCGATCATCAAGCCATATCCACACAAAAAGTGCAGTCATCACATGTAAACCACAGGAGTGTGGCAAAATGGATAGTAGGCCAAAATGTCAGGGAGCATTAGGAAGATCTGGCATTTTGCTCAGTTTGTGAAGGAAGTTTCATGGCTTTTCAACACTTTTTAGAAACACAACCAAATCTCACTAAATCATAGGCTGATGACAAGATTGCTGATAAAAGTCCACATCTTTGGCTCTTCTGCCACCAGGGAATTGATGACAGAGAGACAGAAAATTACATTTACATCAGTCCATTTTGCTATCCGTCAGCTCTCACAAGTAGCTCCTATGCAAGAGAAGATTGAACCTAATAGCAAAACTGAATCTTTTGAATGACCAGGAGACATCTCTATTCTATCACTGGGCCTTAATTATCCCAGAAAATAGAATATATTTTTCATGTCCATGTAAAATTTGCTCACGGACTATATGACAGAAAATAATAGCATTTATTTAGTTAAACTCCACTTCATTCCGAAAGGATTTGAAGTAGCTACATGAAAAAGAAAAATTACCTACCTGTGATTTCCAAGGTGCAGTCATTCCCTTCAATTTCATCTAATCTAGTCACCACCATGCCCGCTGTTGGTATTTTTCCCTACCAGAAAAAGAACATTTCCATTAATTCTGTGGTTATACATGGCTCTACTTATTTCTCGGAGGTTTTCACACCCTCTCAAGAATCACTGTTGAATTATGTTTCCCTGTTCTACATTCTAATCAGACAAGAATGCAAAGGGAAAAATGTGGATTGTGTTTGGCTCCCATGTTCTGAACCACAAAAACCAGGATTTTCAAAGCTTTTTACATATTTAATACATTTTCAAAGGAATCAGGAAGCAAGGTAAAGTCTCAAATTTTATGAAAATCAGTGATTTCTAGGCCATGATATAATAAACACTAGTAAAGTTAAAATACTCCAACTCAGGAGCAGACTGAGGCAAGTTTAATTTCCTGAGGAGTTTAATGATTTGTATCATAGAAACCTGAATCATGTGATGTGAGTTTAATAAGATGGAGAAGGTCCCAAGTGTGTATTCTCTCAACTATAATGCTTTGGGGTGTAAAATGCTACTGTTTAGATATCTAATTGTAGATTTAGATTTCTATTTACATATTCAAATTCTAGCTCATAAGTGGAGCAGAGGATATTCAGGACAAACTCATTATACTAATACACGGTTCTTTGATTTAAGAAACATCTTCCTTATAAGTTGTTTAATTACAATGAACACTCCACCTCTACTGTCCTGAACTTTTAATGCCATAGTGGAGATGTTGCAGTAAATGCAAATATGTAGGTGGGCGTTTTGGCACAACAGGTTAAATCTCCATTTGGAATACCTGCATCCCATATCAGAGTGCTGGTACACATCCCAGCTGCTGTGCATCTGATCTAGCTTCCTGCTAGTGCATCCTGGGAAGGCAACAAAGGATGGCCCAAGTGCAAGGTCCTGACTGTTGAGGGCATTTGCGAGAGTGAATCTGTGGATAAAAGATTCTCTCTCTCTCTCTCTCTCTCTCTCTCTCTCTCCCCCCTGCTTTTCAAGTAGATAAAAATAAACAGTTAACAAATGCTAAACTGTTTTCATTACGGATCCTGCTATTTGTTTTGTATGAAAGTTACTAACCTGATAGATAAAGCCACTCATCCGAGGACTTGCAGACAACATTATCAAGGCATTTGGAAATAACAAAAGGTATCGTTCCTCTTTTTCCTGAAAAAAAAATATTAAATGAGGATATAAATGGGACATTTTGTTTGTTAAGAATTTCTGGAATCACTGCTTTTTAACAGCTCTTCCATCATCAACTAAAACATAAACTGATTTTTTTTAAAAGTTACCCAACTTGAAATCCCCAAACTAGTTGAATTTTATTTTGATGCAGATATAAACCCAGGGTTTCTCTCTCCCCTTATTATACATTACAGTCAAATACAAACAATAATGCTTGTTTCTCAAGTATGTCAGCCTGAGAAGTCACATTGTTTACGTAGCCAGTGAGATGATTTGTCCTGGACACAAAATAAGTCTCCAAGTACATAAAATGAAAAGATGATTTTATTTTGAAAAATGGTAAAAAAAAAAAAAAAAGGTCTTTCAGGTGCTAGGAAGTGCATTATGTTCTAATGTGTATGTAGCATTATTATTCATAAAATTAGTGTTAATCACTAAGAATAAGGCAATTATTGCACTCATGTAAAACAAAGAAGTACATGTTTTCTAGTTTGGGACTTTTTAATTGACAAATAACAATTACATATACTTATGGGGCACAATGTGATGTTTCAATTCAGGGATATGTTGTGTACGGATTAAATCATGGTGATTAGCATGCCCAGCACCTTATGTTTTTATCATTTCTTTATGGGAAGTACATTCAAAATCCCTGTTTTCTAGTTATTTTGAGACAGGTAAGAGTACTTCAGAAGGTTCATGGAAAATTAAATCAAAAGATAAATTCATTTTGGTACAAAACATTTTTATAGCCCTGCATAGTTTTGTTGAAATACACATTTTCATGAACTTTTTGAAGATCTCTCACACAATGCATTATTGTGAATTAAATATTTTAAAGGAACTTAGGAAACTTTAGACAGAGGGCTGCAATGAATCTGATAAATATATATGCAATTTAAAAATTCCATTTAGCTTCATGCCCAACCATCTTAGCTACAATCAGCTTTGTGCACGTCTCCATCTTCTTCCTCCCCTTTGAGAAGAGCAACACTTGGAGTTTAAGGATTCTCCCAAGTGCTCTGCATTCTTTCACAGCTTTCCCTTGTTTGCTTTGCTTTTACAGACCCTTCCAGCAGCCCCTCCTGTTTTCCTGGCATTTCCTTTTTTGCCTATAGTAATAGAACTTCATTTGCCCCATTTGATCTTTGGTACATATCACCCCATTTCTTGACACTTTACTGCAAATTGCTTGCTGCTTTCATTTTCTCCCCATTGATCCCTCTCTAACTGTACCCTTACTGCTCTTTCAAAGTCATTAATAACTGCCTGCTAGCAAAATCCAATGGTTTCTTGGTCCTCACACTCTTTGACCTCTGAACCTTCTGCAGCATTCTACACACTGCCCACTTTCAAATACTCCTTTTGCAATTACTGTGATATCACACTCCCCTGATTCTCTCTATCTTCCTTTTTGTAGTTTTGTTTTTTCGGGCACTGCTTTCACCCTGCTTTCACCCAATGTCCCAATGTATTCATTCCTGCTTTGACCCAATGTATTTATCCCAAAGGTGCGAATGACTAATAGTTAGGCTCACTGCATTAAGCTTCCTCAGGATATCTGCATTTTAAATGAGATTGCTTGTTAATCCAAAGTAATGAATCTCTGCCAGAGGTGTGTCAGAGAGTATAGAAATATGTTTTGGGAGAGAGAAGACCAGCCTAACACCCAATAAATCATATCATGTGACATAATCAGCCTTTCTCCCCTACCCTGGTTCCTTCCTAAAATAATCCATCTTCAGTCTTCTGCGCTTCTCTCTGGAAATTTACTTCTTGGGAAGGCACATCTGTCAAGGACTTCTAAACCTCTGCCTCTAACTTTGACCTTTCACCCACATTTACATGCTATTTTAACAGCTGCCTACAGGACACCTTCACCTAGATAATGTACAATCACTTGGAAGTTAACAGCTCTAAAATTACATTAGTCATCTCCTCTAGCCCTTTGGCCACCACTTCCTGTTGATTTTCTCTCTATACATGTCTCAGTTTTACCTCTTATACATTCTCACTGCTTACACCTTCTTGCTGGATACTTCTCACTCCCTATCCCAGCTGGCCTTTCTGTTTCTAGTGCCATCCTCTCACATTCATGTGATGTATAAGGTTGTCAGAATAAGAGCCAAAACATTTCTCATAATGTTTCTCTACTACTCGGGACTCTTTATCTGTTTCCTATTGCTTGTACCAATATGAATTCTTGCCTGATGTCCAGGCTTCTTTACAGTGTTGACTCTAGCTGACTCAATTAATCTTTTCTTTCACTATATGCAACATCTTTCCACTGCTCCCAACAGATTTCCTTACTATCCCAAAATGGCAAAAACAAAACAAAACAAAACAAAACAAACCCTGCTCCAGTTTTCTGCTGAGAAAAAAATTTCTTCTAACTCTAGAATCCTCCTCTTTTCTTTCTATGGCCTTCCTCAAGTTCTATGTCCCTTTTCTGATCTTCTGTGAATCCTATTGCTGAGACTGCATAATCTGAGTGTAACTATTTGGCTTGTTTTCTAGATGCAATTTGTGTGTTGAATGAGTTGTTTGAAAGCACGGACCATTGCTTGTACTTTCTTCCTGTCCCCAATAACTCATAGTAGAATGTTGGGCAAAGAATGAATGCTCAGTTTCTGATTGGAACGTTTGAGCATTTGACCTTAATGGAAGGACAAATAAAGAAAAATATGAAAGATAGGAGAAACAGTGTTGAAATTTCAAACTCCTTACCTCACATGTTCCATACTGCACCATGACTTGTGACATGAACATCACATTTCCCAAGGTTTTAATATCCTCCCCTTCCCATGCCTGAATAGGCTCAGAAAGTATCTGCAACTCCAGCTGTTTTCTTTTTCTCAGATCTTGGCACTGCCCCTACAGAACCAAAGCAGAACATAATGGAATAGGAATTTTTATGAAACAGACCTAAAACAAGATCAAAGTAAGATGTGGCTTTTGCTTCTCAGATTCCCACTGAGCCCTGTTTCTTGCCGTGAATCTCATGATCAGACCTGTTTCTGATAGGCAGAAAGGTCCACTTTCCTCAATCCCTAGCCTTGAGCCCCCTATAGTTGTGTAAGTCAGAACTTTGCCAAAGCATCCAGATAAACTGGTGTAACACTGATGTTTCTCCCTCCCTGTAAGGAGTCTGGGAAGACAGGTAGCAGAGTCACATGAAGCAGAGCCAGGAGAACAACTAGTAGATTCAGATCTGCTTGTTTATGCCCCTGCTCTAGGTCCTCTCTACCTGTCTATCTTTGCAGATGTAAGGCTTTAATTACAAAGCAATCTTATTTGTCTAATATGCTCTGTTTCCATGAATGTAATATATTTAGAAAAACAAAAACCAAAAAAAGACTCCAGAAGTTATAGAAAAAGAGAAAATTATATTCTTTATGCCACAGTGAATCAAACTGATCTTATACCTAGAAAAAGAAATTATGGTATATACACACTATGGAATACTAAACAGTGTTAAAAAAAATGAAATCCTGTGTTTTGCAACAAAATGGATGCAACTGGAAACTATTATACTTAGTGAAATAAGCCAGTCCCAAAAAGACAAATACCATATGTTTTCCCTGATCCAAGGTAACTAATAGAGAATCTAAAAGGTAATCTATAGGAGTGAAATTGACATTTTGAGATTCAATGATTGTTTATAGCCCTTGTCTCGACTGTTGAGGAACAGTGTTTTTTTGTCATTGTATTTGCTGAACTCTTTACTTAGTGTAGGCTTAATATCATGAGTATAAAGTTAACTGAAAATAGATCTTGGTAAAAATTAAGAATGGGAATAGAAGGAGTTGTAAGAAAGGTGGGAGCATGGATGGAAAGGAAGGTAGGGTGGGAAGTATCACTATGTTTCTGAATCTGTATATAGGAAATACATGAAATTAGTATACCTTAAATAAAATTTTAAAAAATTTTAAAAAACATTATCTTATAATGGAGCCTATGCACTGTCTGGTATTTTGTTTAGGGACTCGTGGTAGATTGCTATGAAGGAAATACCAAACTAATTTTTATTCCTAAAAGGATCAGAAAAGAGATACACCTGGATTTCATGATGAAAAACTGAAAACTGAAACCAAGAAACAATTCAGTTTATCAATACTATGTGAGGTGTAAATAATATACATATATACATACACACATGCATGTGTGTTTGCATATATTAAAATCACTGCTTTAGAAACATGAAGTTATCAGAATAATTTAACAGCATTCATTCTAAATTGAATATAAGCATATGGTTGGTTATGTTTCTGTTTGCAAGTGAATGGAATGAAATAGTTTTTTGAGGTGTGCTTTTTTTTTTTTTTTAACTTTTATTTAATGAATATACGTTTCCAAAGTACGAATAATGGATTACTATGGCTTCCCCCCCATACCGTCCCTCCCACCCACAACCCTCCCCTTTCCCACTCCCTCTCCCCTTCCATTCACATCAAGATTCATTTTCGATTATCTTAATATACAGAAGATCAGCTTAGTATACATTAAGTAAGGATTTCAACAGTTTGCTCCCACACAGAAACATAAAGTGAAAAATAATAGATGATTTTTTTTAATGATGATGAAATCAGATCAGACCTATTGTCATGTTTAATCCCAGTGAGAGTCAAGTTGGGAGTTGATAGTTTCTTTTCTTTTCTTTTTTTTTTCATGTTTTTACAGAGGATCAGTTTAGTATGCATTAAGTAAAGATTTCAACAGTTTGCACCCCCATAGATGAGGTGTGCTTTTTATAAAATTTCTGCTATTCCGTTTAGTTAAATGGAGACTAGAGTAAATAAATAATTACACACGTTTTTGAAGCACCTATAGTGGGAATAAATATAGTGCAGCCATTAATGCAAGTTTTATATGATCAGAAAGAAAAGCAATTTTTTTTTTAATTTGACAGGTAAAGTTACAGACAGTGAGAGAGAGAGACATAAAGAAAGGTCTTCCTCCATTGGTTCACTCCCCAAATGGCCGCTATGGCTTGAACTACGCTAATCCGAACCCAAGAGCCAGGTGCCTCCTCCTGGTCTCCCATGTGGGTACAGGGGCCCAAGCACTTGGGCCATCCTCCACTACCCTCCCAGGCCACAGCAGAGAGCTGGACTGGAAGCAGAGCAACCAGGACTAGAACCCAGTGCCCATATGGGATGCCAGCGCCGCAGGTGGAGGATTAACCAAGTGAGCCACGGTGCTGGCCCCAGAAAAACAATCTTTTTAAGAAGGCATTTTACGTTCCTTTCACATAGGAAAAGTAAATGACATAAGTTATAATCAATGCCATGTTTTTCAGCGGGCTGTTATAATAGGTTAAACCATGTAAAACTGCCAATATTTGACAGCTTTTGACCTATAAAAACAGCAATTTTAAAGTAATCTTTACTCAGGTCTTCATCTTCCTGTTTAACCATGAATATGTCAGTTTCTTAGCTTTCAACAGCAATTCAATTGAGGTGATGGATAATATTATAGCATATCCTTATAGCAAGGAACAATACACATTAATCCAAATCACTTAGAATACTACAAAAATGTCTAAAATGAAGTTAAGCTTAATCAATCACCCAAAATAAAGTTAGTTTTCTTTTTTTCTAAAATGGCAGCACACAGTTTTAGATCAATGTTTCAAGCAGACACATTAACCATCATGCTCATTAAACAAGGTTATAGGTACCTTTGATAGCAATCTATATAAAGCAATTGCATTTTAGTGCTTGGTTTTTTTTCCCCCTTTTAGATTTGATGACGGATTTCTTTTTCATATGCAAAGAACAAACTCTCACCTTTTGGCATAAGTAGTTGAATCCAGTATTGATGCCAATCAGTGAATGACGAGTTACACAGACATAAGGTGAGCAACAGGGGTAAAGACAAAGAGGTGAAAGGAAACCCCCCACCCACACCAATGCTTAATGTGGCCAAGACTTCAAATGTGATTGCTTTATACCCTCAGCGTGGCAACCTTTTTAGGCAAGCATGACTTGAGGAGGACAAAATTAAACAATCACTGCGGTACTGTCACGAAAGCTTATGGTTTCCATTCTAAAGACCTTTGCAGGAGGAAAGGAATTACACATGCAAGTCACTTTTTCAGGAATAAAGTACACAAAATGGAAACTTTTAATTGTAGAGCAACACTCACCATGAGAGCTTTGAATGCTATGATTGCCTTCAGAATATCCTGATGATCTGGGTGAGTATCCTAGCAAAGGAACACATTTGAAAATGGGATTAGAAAAGAATGGATCAGTCGTTGCCAGGAATTAGGGTTCAGAGGTAGATGTGGCCGAGGGATGGTAGAAAATTTGGAGGACAATGGAACTGTTCCATATCTTGACTGTGGTGGTGGTAACGTGAATCTATACCTGTATTCAAATTCATAGAACTATGCACAAAAGAGAAAAAATTTAATCTTACTCTAAAAAAGATGAAAAAATAGTACTTCATTTGAGCATTTGGAATCTCAGCACATCACATTATTAGGTGATTAAGAAATTAAAACAGTTGGTAACACTGTATGTAATTAGCAGCAACACAGTAGGTGTGCTTATTGAGGCAAGAGTTTCCATTTTCCTTTTTGCTGTTATACTTTGGATAATTGATATTTAATAATAACTAAATGATTATTTGGGGGGATATTGTCAGGTCATATTGCATACCTAGCGTTGGAGTATATGGCATGAATAGGTGTTCTTAGCCTTGGGAGTACATGTATATTTAACCCTTGAACCTCAGCTGGAGTAATGGGAAAACCAGACTTGGCTAGTAAAACACAGAACTAAACAGACTAGAGGTCTTCACCATGCCAAGAACAATAGTGCTCATGAAAAGTGAAGTTGCGTTCTTTTACAGTAAACCTTATCCTTACCCAAATCAGCTGACCACTGAGAATTTCAGGTTGTAGTCTGCCATTAGTCAGCAGTCATGTCAAATGGTCAGAAATCTGGATAAAGTCTCTCACTCACTGGTAAACTGGTATTAAAAGTGCATATTATCTGATGGTAGGAAATGCAAGGTGGTCAAAACCATGTGGCCCACAGCAAATGGAGGCAGGGGTAGAAAAGGGCTCCACTACAAGATCACGATAAAGGAACCAAGCAGTAGGAGAATCTTAGGTCTTTTCCTCAGCAAATTAAGTGCACATGTTCACCTCAGCATCGAGAAGTAACAGAAAATGAGCCACTGGTTTCTGGAGTTTTATGATAAGCAAGGAGGGGCAAACCTCAAACGGTTCAACGAATTAGTCTGGCTTATGGAAAGGCATCCAGAGGTCAATGCCTTCCCAAGCCCTAACTGAAATTTCATTCCGACTGGCTTTGCACATCAGCTCCTCACTGCCTCCAGCTTTCAGGCAAGTCAAACACCCTGAGAATGTGGTTTCACTCAGAGTACACGCTTTCCATCCTTACAAACACTGACAAGCCCAGCAGCATGCAACCTTATCCTTTAAAGATAATCAAGCCCTTCAAAACCTCAAAACCTTACCCCAGACACAGGAAGAGCAACTAGGGTAAAGGCAGCCTCTCCCAGAGAGCCCTGCTCTCCCACCCACACCTCAGTCCCCAACTCATGGCTGCAACAGAAGGGGGTCAAGGAGATGGATTTTTAATAAGAAGAGGATTTGGGCTCCTGATAAAAATTCAATTATCAGGCCTCACTGTTTAATATTTGGAAAAAATTTATGCTGCAAATATTGCAAGTAAACTGGAATTTGATGAACAAAAAATGTGAAGAGACTTTGATGTATATGCACTGATTCAGAGAGATACAGTAATATCGGATACATTTATTAAGCCTATTAATCTCCACGGAATATCAGAATGTTCCATTTTAATCCAGAGTCAGAAAGCTGAATGATCAGTGTTCTAGAGACAAAAATTCCTGTCTATAGTGAACATGTTCCTTGTATTTTCTGATTGTGTCTTGCTTTATTTTCCACAATAAAGTTGCTTAATATCTCAGAACGACAGATAAAAAACAAATTTCTTGGTGTGATTTTGACTGAACCACCATCTACAGATGAGACGAAAAAGAGAGCACAAGTCACCAAGTAAGCATAGACACGAGAGATGCAACAGGGCTGAGGCTTGGAAGAAAGCAGGAGGGTGGAAGAATGGTCATGAACACTTGGTAGGAAAGAGGAGAGATCACATTTTAGTTTTGGAAGCAAGAGACTTTCCAGATTCCTTGGCAAGGCTAATATGGAGGTATACTGGCTGGTTTCACCAGAGTATAAGACTAGGCTGGGCCCATGAGTTTAAAACAGCTTGCCCTCCCTTACCTCCATATGTCGTTCCAACTCTTGCAGGAGAGTAACATACTTTTCCAGGCGCATGAATGGTTTGCTGAGGCTTGTTGTTAAAATGAGGATGCCTGGGCTGGACGCACCTTGGTTTTCCATAAATTGTTCCAGTTCATCACTAAAAAAAGTATAATTTTAGTAACTGCTAAAGAACTATTGACCCAATACTATTTTACTGTATTTTGCACAATATGAAACAAATAAAAATGTGTTTCACTAGTCCAAATGCTGTTCAATACATTTCAACTCAATTCAGCCTTTATTCAACTCCTCCTGTACAATCCAACCCTGTGTCCAGCACTGGAGTTCCAGTAGTAGCCAGACACTCATGATTCCTGGTGTCATTTAGTCACTCAGCACTTACTGATTGAGCATCAACTAAGTGACAGGATCTACTCTCTGATGGGGATACAGTAGTGAACAAAACAAAAATCTCCACCCTTGAGGAGAATGTACCCAGAGGCCTGAGGCCTACAATCCATCAGATGGCCTGAACCTAATGTTAAAAAAATGTATTTTTAGTGACTTCAAACATTCGTGCTATTGGCTGGTCAGACATAAAGGGTTGCAACTTCCCAAGTTCTCCCTCTCACCCACTTGTAATGTTTTAACAACAGGTCCTACGTTCAGGTAGCAGCATGTTGGAATGACAAAGTCTCTTGGCCTGAATGTGAAACCAGTGTTGCAGGCTACCCAACTACTTCCATAGGGCAGCACCTTGGTGGGGAAAACAACTGTTACCATTTTCTGAACTATGTCATGTTCTGTAAATGTCTAATTTTCAGTTGGTGCTTTCTGTGCCCTTTAGTACCCTTCCAGATCATCTCCTTTTGTTTCTACCAACAGCACTGTTGAATCCCATGGCTACAAGAACATTTTCAAACACATTTAAAAAAAAAAAAAACTTCCAATTGTCTACAAGGTCAAGTCTTAATTTTTTAAACTTTTCTCACCACCCACTATGAGGAACTTTCTACTGCAAAGTGATCTACTTATTCTCCTTAGAACACATCTTACGCAGTGATTCTCAACTATGGTGTGTAACAACAGATAGTGAGGTGTGTTCACAGAAATTTGCTATTTGTACTTGATTATTGGGGTGGGAGTGGGAGGTGGCTGGTGATCCCTATTACTAATAATGCACTTTTTTGTCCTTGGGCTTTTATTAGCAGCAAACAAAAGGATATGGTTTGAGCTAATGTACCAGCAGCCTTGAGTCATGCAGTAGTACACATGTGTCAGAAGACAAAAGAGCTGTGAACTGCTGTCTCCATGGAAGCTAGAACACATCTGAGAGGCCATCTTGAACCACTGCTGCTGAGCATTTCATCAGTTTTCACAGAGTTATTCCAGCAACAGTTCAGGGAAGGCAAGTGCCCTGGACTTGGAGTCATAAAAATGGATTTGATGACCTCGGATGAGTTGCCTGAGCTTCAAATGACTCATCTCTAAACAACAGATTAAAACCCACTGCCTAATAAAGTTATGAAGTTTAAATAGTGGGGTTTTTAAATTTATGCTAAGATCTTTATATTTTGTTTATATTTGCATTTGTTCTTTAATGTTCAGAACATTTCAACATAGGCATTATCCCCATCTTGCAGAAGAGAAACGCGAGACTCAGAAAAGGTGAGTAATAGCTAGTAAATTGGCTATGGTGGGGTTCATACCCAGGGCTGAAGCCAAAGTCTCAGATCTTTCTGAGACACCACCCTGCCTCTCCACAGGAAAGTAATTTTTCAACCTAGAAGAAGTTAATAAATGCATTTTTATTACCATTATTATCATTATTATTAGTCCAAGACAAATACCTTGCTAAAATCACATCTTTAAGAACAACCCAGCATTTGTGATTACCAACTTAATGGAATTCAACTGATGTTTATTTTTCAACCATGAGCCTAAAGTGCATAAAAAGGTTTTAAAATTCATCACATATAAACATTCATAATTAAGAAAATAACTCAGGTTTGGAGAGTGCTTTTGAGTAGAAATGTAATTTGGAGGAAAAACATTTTACTAATTTTCAATATGGTAAACAAGCCTTATTCTTTCCTTTCTGCATCCTCAACATTCTACTTAATTGATGCAAGAGTTACAGCAATTAAAAGCAAATACTAATGGGTACTTAATTAGCTTCCATGCCACATTTGAACTTCTAGGCCTGCTAAATGCTACTTAAATATCTGGAAAAAAATTAGGTATAGCAATATATCATTATCTTAGGTTAAAAAACTGGTTATTAGGGGATTCCAATTCAATCCCATCAAGGTGGCATGTAACAATGCAATCTCACTAGTCCCGGTGATCAATTTCTGTTCACAATTGATCATAATGATAGGACTAAGAGCCAAAGGGAGCACATAAACAAGACTAGTGTCCGCAAATACTAGCTGATAGAATAAAAAAAGGGAGAGAACGATACAACATGGGAAGCGAGATACGCAGCAGACCCATAGAATGACAGATGTCCTAAACAGCACTCTGGCCTCAGAATCAGCCCTTAAGGCATGCGGATCCGGCTGAAAAGCCCATGAGAGTATTTCAGGCATGGAAAGCCAAAACACTCTGGGAAAAAAAAAAAAAAAACTACATGAAAGATCTCCGCGAGTGAGATCCCAGTGAAAAGAACAGGTCATCAAAGAAGGAGGTACCTTTCTCTGAAGGGAGGAGAGAACTTCCACTTTGACTACGACCTTGTCTAAATATGATCAGAGTTGGTGAACTCAAAAGGCTTCCACAGCCTTGGCAACTCATGACAAGAGCATAGGGTGATTACTGATGCCATAAACAAGAGTGTCAATTTGTTAAGTCAACAACAGGAGTCACTGTGCACTTACTCCTCATATAGGATCTCTGTCCTTAATGTGCTGTACATTGTGATTTAATGCTATAACTAGTACTCAAACAGTATTTTTCACTTTGTGTTTCTATGTGGGTGCAAACTGTTGAAATCTTTACTTAATGTATGCTAAACTGATCTTCTGTATATAAAGATAATTGAAAATGAATCTTGATGTGAATGGAAGGGGGGAGGGAGAGGGAAAGGGGAGGGTTGCAGGTGGGAGGGAAGTTACGGGGGGGAAGCCATTGTACTCCATAAGCTGTACTTTGGAAATTTATATTCATTAAATAAAAGTTAAAAAAAAAGAAAAAAAACTGGTTATTGGGAAGAAAGGAAATTTTTATTACTGCAACAAAGAACCAAGATGTTTTATAAAGCCACTACCTATTATGAGAAATATATCCTAAAAACATATTTTACTTAGAAAACTAAATTTAATATACAAATTAATATGGCCATACAGAATTATATATTTACCATTATACCAAAGAACAATCTGTGTTAAAAATACAGTTTTAATTTTATACAGCCTGTTTGAAATGGTAATTGGTTAAGACTTGCTTTTCAAGCTTAACATTTGCAGTATATGTAATGTGATTTAACAGAAGCACTTCTTATCACATGAATGCTATTTGAAACTCAACATACATTTGTCATAGACTGAATGGTGGATGGGATTCTGATATGTGCTGGGTTGGACCAGAAAGCTGAAGAAAACCATTGTGCATTACAATAACACTACAGGTTTTAACATCTGATACATCAATGTGTCTGTGGAATCTTTGTATAGCTTTCTAATTTTTAATTGCCATATGATAATTGTACTTTATGGGGTACAGGGTTATAATTAGATACATGTAGATCTTGTGTAATAATCAAGTCAAGATAATTAGCATTTCTACCTCCTCAAATATTATCATATCTCTATGATGGAAACCTTCTCACTTTTTTATTTATTGTGAAATGTATATTGTTGTAGATTATGGTTACCCTATTGTATTATATAATATCAGAACCACTTCCCTTCTCTGACTGTGTTGGTACCCTTTATCTGCCTTCCCACTATCCCCCACCCTTCTGCCCTCCCTAGCCTATAGTGCCCACTACTATATTCTCTACTCCTAGGTGATCAACTTTTTTAAAAAAAGATTTATTTTATTTATTTCAAAGGGAAAGTTACACACATAGAGAGAGAGGGGGAGAAGCAGAGAGAGAGAGAGAGAGAGAGAGAGACTTCTTGTTCACTCTCCAAATGGCTGCAAAGTCTAGGGATAGGCCAGACCAAAGCCAGGAGCCAGGAGCTTCCTCTGGGTCTTCCCATGCAGGTACAGGGGCCCAAGGACTTGGGTCATCTTCTACTGCTTTCCCAGGCCATAGCAGAGAACTGGATCAGAAGTAGAGCAGCCAGGACTCAAACTGGTGCTCATATGGCACCAAATGCCCACAACACCAGCCCCTGCAGTCAATTTTTTAAGCTTTCACATACAAGGGAGACCATGTGTTATTTGTTGTTCTGTGTTTGGCTTATTTCACTTAACATAATGTTCTCCAGTTCCATTCATGTTTCTTCAAACGACTGGATTTCATTCCTTAACTAGAACGATCATGGCTTCACCTAGCAGAAAGCCATAGATTCCTCCTCCCTCCATTACTCTCCCAACTAGCCTTTCATGGGAATTGCTGTGGCCTGGAAAGGGGAGGTGAGGGAAGAGGAGCTGGGAAGCCCTGGCTTCCGGCCAGTGAAAAATCCTAGGGGTCCACTCACACTGAGTTGGGTGGATCCCTATTTTCCTTCTTCATTTATTCAGTGCCAGAGATTAGGCTGTCTGCTTCTTTTCTGACCCTTTCACTTTTTTGTCGGTGATCAGTCTTACTTGCTCCCTTCCCTGGGGTTCTTCAGTGACAGAAACAGAACAGAATCAAGGCTCAGAAGTTTTCCTATGTCCCTTGCTCCCAAAGCAAGTAAACAGCTCTTTGGAGTTTTCTCAGAATCTTCATTTGCTGCCTAGAATGGTAAAAAAGCAAAGGAGTAAAACTACCTGGAAGAAAAGGACACAGGGGTGTTTGTGGGAGTCACTGCAATAGGGAAGTAAGGTCCAGATCTGCCTTAGCACCAATTCTCTCCTCTTCTCCCAGCTCTCTCTTACCGCTTTCCCCTGTGAAAAATGTGGATGCTACACGAAAGCACAGAAGTCACATGGTTATCTTTGTAAAAGAGAAGTTATTCCCAAGAAGAGACAGGAGCTACACCACAGCAAACCAGCAGGGGAGAG